GACATGGACGGAAGTGATGGAGCCACAAGTCCAGTTGCTTTAGGAAAGGAAGTCCATTTCAGGTTTTGAACCTATGGCATTTGAGAGGTGTGGCTTTGATCTGTTCCAGCATGGCAATTTGTTACAGTAGCTGTGAAACCCTGGAGCTAATTTGAGAATGTTGAGGGTAGAAAACATACTCTTAAGAAAGTGAAATATTGTACCATTTGTAATGCTTTTTTTTCCTTTTTCTTTATATCTCTATTTTGCATTATTTAAAAATAAAAATGAAGGAAGTTCCTTTGAGATGCCAATGTTGTGAGTGTCAGGGACATGTGGGTGTAGGGAATAAGTGACTCTGGATAGGGATCCCTGGCGAGCAGGAGGAGATGAGTTGAATGAATTGAGTCCAGGAGCATGGGAAAAGGCAGAACTGCTCAGGGGAACCCAGAACTGTCTAGTAAAGCTGTTCTATAAAAAAGAAGCCTTGGAGCTGCAGGTAGTGACAGGAGAATCCTTACCCACTCCTCTGCTAGCAGGCCAGAGTTGAGATCCACAGAAAGAGCACTTCATGAGAGAGACCTCGGGCAGATCAATGCCCACCATGGCCCAGAGTTTTGCACACTGTATCATCCTGTGACATTTGTTCTCTTGTCACCAGAGAGCATGCAATTTATGACTGGTAATTCTGAGTCATGGAATCAGAACAAAGTCAGTTCTGCTACTAGCACAAGTCTGGCACTAAGTAATAGATCCTAAAGACCAAAACAGGGGCCAGGGAGATACCTCAGTAGAATAAGTGCTTGCCTGGCAAGCACAAAGGCCTGAGTTCAATCCCCAGTTCCACCAAGAAAAAAAATAAGGCCAAAACAGCTTCCAGACCTGTTACCTGGCCTTCTAAGAAGGCGCCATACACGCACCATGCTCAGATTCTCAATTTCTGTTCAAAAAATTGTGCTCTTCTTGTCTTTGCCAATGACATACCTGTCACTCTATTATCACTGGCTAGATCAATCCTCCTCTTTGTTGCCTCAATGTGTTGCTGCTCATTATTTATCAGCATTGCTTCTGCAATGAGTAAGAAGTTTAGAGATATAAGATCTGAAATCTTTCAGATACTTCTACCTATGCTGGAACAGATTAGATTTACATAGACCAACTCTTAATTTCATTCCATCAGCATATTCTTTCATGTAGCCTTCAGTGACTGAACCATCATGATCCATGGATCTCCTGGCCTTTGGCCCCAGACATCCCCAGGATGGAACTGATGCAGCTACAGTGGTTGCTATGCAGCCCCAAAGCAAGACTCAGTGTTGGGCCCAGTCTTGGCTACTCCTCTGATGAGCTCACCCTCAAAGTTTCTATAAGCCTTACTGAGGGGTTTCCAGGCAGATCTGCTGTTCCCAATGAGTCAGCATGGCAGACGTTGGGTGGACCCAGAGGACCAGGTCAGGTTCATTAGTCAAAGCCATCAGAGGCTCCCAGGAAAAACAGGAGTGTCTTGCACTCTAGTGTATGGCTTTACCCATGCAGTATGGATCCTTCCAAGTGTCACAGTTCTAGGTAGTGGGAACCCTTGAGTGTCCTCACTGACTAGTGGCCTGGGCTATAGGTTTCACAGGAACTGCCACCTGCAGTATTTCATCTGCACTGGTGTATGATACCTGGGCCAAAATCTGAAGCCAGTCTGCAGTTAACAAACCCCAATGACAATGTGACTGCCCCACCGTCTGTCACAAAGCACTTGTGGAGCTCACCACCCTCACAGGCAATCTGGATTCTGAATGGAGCTCATAGAACCTTTCCTCCCTGAACTCATTCGCTTGATGAAACCCTGGGAAAGTGTATCCTGTATGAAGTCTCTATCTAAATCCTTATATAGGGTGGCTTTCTGTGTGTGTGTGTGTGTGTGTGTGTGTGTGTGTGTG